GTGACATACTTGTTAAAGTGAGGAAGGAGAAAAGCTTTTTGTCAAGACTGTGACAAAAGAGGAAAGACAGGCAGAGAAATGAGAAAAGAAGCCACAACAAATTAAGGACCATCTCTCAAATTCCTTCAGGGAAAGATTTTCTATAAATTTTTCAAAAAAAAGTTTCTTAAAAGTCTATAGCTCTTCATGATATACAAGAATGATGAAAGTGATACTGTATAGAAATCACATCCCTAGCAAGTGTATCTAGACATGTTATATAAAACATCTGTAGACCCAGGGGTGAAAAAAAGCTTACTTCTTTTAAGCTTCTCAGTTTCTACCACTTGCACTGCTGTCGTCTGAGAGTACAGGGCCATTTAGGAGGAGATGTTCAAAAATACCAAAGGCTATTAGATTCCAAACCCACCACCTGTCAGCAAACACCCCCCACCCACAGGACAAGCATTTATTTTCCTGCTGTTTCTTTCCTAAGAAAGGGGAGGGAGGGAAAACAATTATCAGCCGCACTCTCCCTGTTCCCCCAGCTGCCTCATGCCTGCTTTGCAGCATGATGTGTGTGAGGATGCTTTACCTATTTGGTCCTGCAAGGCCAGTAGCAGGCTCAGTTTTGGGTAACAGAAGTGGCAAGGAGAGGTGCTGCCAGTCAAGGTGAAAAATTCAGAGTGTGCCACCTCAGTACCACAGGAGAAACCAGGAGCTGTATCCACAGACAGCATTGGGGCAGCTGTCCCATCCATAGGTACGAAGAACAGGGATCAAAACTAATCAAAACCGGGGAAGGGGCCAGTGAGTTTACTAGCAAACCCCACTGCAAAGCAGACACATGGACACCCAGAGGGTTTCCTCGCCCGTGTGTGGGCTGCCTCCTCTTGTCAATGTGTTTTACTCCACCAGAAAAATATAAAACAGCGGGCTGATAGATTCAGCACTTGCTTTTGTTTCTTTCACGCTTTGTGGACGACAAACAACTGATCCCTGGGGTCCATTTGAACCTTCCCATCCCCATGAGCATTTGTGAGGCAAAAAAGAAAGAAAGAGAGAAAGAGAAAGAGAGAAAGAGAGAAAGAGAGAAAGAGAGAAAGAGAGAAAGAGAGAAAGAAAGGAAACCTGACCTATGTAGATGTGTTCATCAGCTTTGGACTATTTTTCATCAGGCAATGTTCAAACACTTTGTTGTCTGAATGGATCCTCATGATTCCTAGTAAATGAAATGAAAATCCCAAGCAGAAATTTTTCTTAGGTTTTGTCCTCACTGAAAAACAGATTTCTTGACTTCAGCTTTTTTTTTTTTTTTTTTTTTTAAGCACAGATGTGTTTAATACTCAGAAAAGGTGCCAGTTGGACTGACATATCTTCAGGCTGTTGTTCTCTCCCTGGAGAGTGAAGGTAGGGCTGTCCTGTGACAGTACAAGTCACTCCCCATGGGCTGCGGACGTGACAGATCCTGCTGCAGCCATGCTACTGGCAAGGGTTGGTTGAGCCTTTTCAGTTTTAGCCTGTTTCTGGAAATAATTATGAGGAAGAAAAGGAGAGGGCTAAAACTGCTAACTGCAGTTTCTTGTTGTATTGTTTGGTTTTTTTTTCCCCTCTCATGCATCACCTGCACAGTTTGCTCAATTTCTATGTGAAACAAAAATGGCCAGCACATGGTGTGGATGTATCGCTGAGATCCTCTGGCCAGGCTCAAGGTGAAGACGTGGCAGCACCAACAGCATGGCCACCTGTGGCCTTGGGGGCGACGGGGTGCGGGTGACAGCCGGAGAAGCTGGAGAAGGCACCCAGGGAGTGTTGCTCTTCAAGACCGACATCTACATCTTGCAGAACTATCACTCAGAAGGGAAGTGGAACCTGGTGGATGTGGTTTGGGACACAAAGGAAAGACATGAAAGCTCAAAAGATGTTCAAAAGAAAAAATTATTTTGTGGCTCTGAAAGATTATCCCAATTTTTATCTTACTGAGACACAACCAGCTGAAGACCTGAGAGGTTCCCAGTATCTCAGGGCAAGCTCTGCCTCCTCTCTGCCTCTGGGAGGGGTTAGGCAGTGTCATGAAGCTCATGTCAGGGTGTGTGTTTGCACATCTCTGTGTGCATATGTGGGTAGAAGTGGAAGTGTTCAAGACCAGGTTGGATGAGGCTTTGAGCAACCTGGTCTAGTGAAGGGTGTCCCTGTCCATGGCAGGGGGGTTGGAACTTGATGATCTTTAAGGTTCTTTCCAACCCAAACCATTCTATGATTCTATGATTCTATGATTCTATGATTATATCATCTATTTTTACACTGTTTAATTGTCGGTGAATGTGGATGCACCATGGAAATATTTTTTCACAGAACTGGTACAAAGTGGAAACACACAGGATTGTGTGTCCTGCAAGCCTTTTAAATATGCTATAACACCAACCAAAGCATCTTGCCCTTTAGGATCAAAAATGGGGGTGGTGCTAGGGAATAGTGCTAGAGAGCTTCAAACTGAAGATTTTTCTTTTTTTTTATGTGTTTGTGTGTTTGTTTGTTTCATGAATGCTGGCCCCCAAATATTTTTTTTCTGCATGGTATTTTGCGTCATCATATTACATGATGAAAAAGTATAATTGTAATCTATAAGTTGCACTTTCTAACCTGTAGACGTGTTCTTATCTGTCAGAGAAATTTGTAATTTATGAACAAGTGACACTTTCAAAGGCCAGAATAAAGGATTCACACACCTGCTGGAAAACTGGAGTTAAAAGGTTAAATACGAATGTACAAACCACTATTTCCAAATTAGATTACCCACAGCACTTGCTTAAAGAAAGAAGCGGGTGTGCTTCTTTTATGAAACTTTTCTAAAGAAGTAAAATTTAGAAAATGAACAAATTTAATTTTATCCTTGGTTTTTATCTGGATTTGTTAACACTGTAAGAGAATGAATGATCTAGAAATGATCATGTAAGTATTTCCCTTGACCTGTCAGGATAAGCTTAGTGAATGTAGTATTGAAAGACAAGCAGCACTCAGTTTTGCAAGCCTTATCATTGAGTAATTCTTCCTTACAAGCAGGAAGATGAAAACAGTGATAGTAAATATGACTCAAGGCAAGTGAGGGTTACAAAATTCGATCCTTGGCTGCAAGGAGATGCTTAGATATATTAGGATGAAATCACTGGGGGTATGAAATCAATGAATGCATATTAAGACACATTAATCCTGAGTTTAATGTGGCCTTAATTTACTGCATTTTAATCCTCCTCATTTTCATTGCTGCTAGGAAATTGTACTTCGAAACATAAAAATTGCCATATTGCCAAAGTGCTTTGACACTGTGTTCCAATAAGCTTGTCAAATGTAAAACTTAAGTTCGCAAGATTAATTTCCCTGTAATCTTGAAGGCTGCTATTTTGAAGTATATTTTGGAAGACTCTAGTGTGGTAGCGTGAAATAACAGGATTATATGGTGTCCTATTTGGTAGTTGGCTTTCACTCCAGAAGACAATCTCTCTGGACACTTTATGCAGCAAACTACTTTTTTTGGGTAACAAAATCTGTAGGTGTACCTTCACTAGTGCCTCGAAGTTAGAGTTACTATAAGAAGAGGTAACTAGAATATGCATAACTAACAAACAATTGCTGTTTTCAGTAATCTGATACACTTTGTCATATCCACAGAGTGCTCAGTTGTGCTACCATAGATGTGATATATCATAGTAAATTCTTTACCAGGCAGAAATAAGCTGAAATTGAGCTGGTGTGGAGTAGCAGATAATATTTGAACTTTACGCTGGCTAGCCCCCCATCCAGACTATTTCAGTATCTGGCTTTGTGTAATCACTGTTTTTTTCTCTGCCTTATTAGTGTTATCCCTTTGTTTACAGTAAAAATATTGCTCCCAGCTGGTACAAAAGGCAATGTAGACAATATGTTTTCCACAAAGTAAACATCTTGTCCAGGATACACCTAAGAAGGACACTGGTTTCACACTAAGGGCTCAGGCAGAGCATGATCCATGTGGGCCCATCAGTCTATCTTACTCTTTTCCTCAATAAATGAGTATGAATCATCTTTTGACTGGTCAAGAGCATAGTCATCTAATATTAACTATTCCTTCTATGGAGCCTCAGCATACATCTTCATCTGTACATCCAGCTTGAAAAGGATGTAACCTACATTTTCCTAGTAATAACCCTGTTTCTATTCTTCAGCTAAGGCCCTTGTTTGGCCTCCATGGTGTCTGACTGGATGAGACCTTTGAATTCACAGCTTCTTTTGATATTCTGTCTTTGTGCCCTGGACAACTAAGGTACAAAAAGGAAGAAAAGGCTGATGGAGGTAAAAGACAAATCCATGGGTGGATGTTATATGACAAACAAAGTGAAAGAAATTGTCTCAAAACTTTGGTTTACATGGATGCTGAGATAGTCTTGGGATATAACAATCTGGAAAAGTCTCCCTTTTTTCACTTTTATCTTAACATGATGAAGGAATCACAGAACAAAAGCCCCTAGAAGCGGGCAAATGGCAGACTTTGAATGATACACAGGTTAGGCAATGGTTACATGTTGAGCATAAGTACACTTTCAGAACTGATGCAGTTTTGGAAATGGTAGCATCATAAACAACATAAAATAAATTTCATCATGATTTAACTAACATTAAGGTTCTTACATAACACTGACAAAAAAACCTTGAGACTACTTGGAGCTTTAGAAACCTTCCATCATGATTCCTTTGGATTATGTAAGGATCTTCCAAACTCCTATGCCTCTTCCACACAGTTACTGTTAATATTCCCTATTTTTTTTCCCTAGATGAAGACATACTAAACAGACATGAGAAAAAAAAAAATAAAAGAACAAGTATTTTACACAGAATGACAAAGAATTGTAGACTCTAAAGCCCTTCTGCAGAATACTCTCAGAAAGCAAGGAACTGTGCCTCCAGTCCACATGCTTGAATAATACCTCAAGCATCCCCACGTCCTCAAGATTCATTTTCAATAATTAAAAAAATGTTTTTAAATATAGTTCTCAGGGATGGAGCTGGTGCCCCATGTCAGTATTTCCACTAACATCCTGGATTGCACATTCCATAGAAGAGCGTAAAGTGCTGTGGCATTGTTTGTTGGGTTTTTTTTTTTTTAATTTAATTTGGAACTTCTTCACCCTTTCCATTATTATTTTTATTATTGTTATTATTTTTACCTTGTAGCTCCTATGTTCTTGTAATGACACATAAGAAGGTGCTTAAAGGTCTTCTTGAAAGTAGCATTGCAGAGCGCATAACAAGCAGGGTTGATGGTGCTGTTGATATAACAGAGCCAATAACCTATGGTCCATACAGTGCCAGGGATGCAGGATGTGCAGAAACTGTTGATGAGCACCATCACGTTGTATGGGGTCCAGGTGATTATGAAGGCCAGGAGGATGGCCAAAATAGTCCTTGTCACTTTTTTCTCTCTAGAAGGAGGTGGTTTCTTTTTAGCTGGTTGCTTTGTCATCTTGACAATTTTCCGGGCTACGCTATTCTGCTTCTCCTCTCCATTGGTGCCTACAATCTCCACAGTGGTGTTGGTGGGGGCAGAGAGGTCACCCTTTTGGGACTTGGTGACTATTCTAATGCATGTCAGCTTGGAGTTCTCCACTTTGAGATGGTCTTGGGAGGCAGAAGCCTGGCTGGCATCTTTGGCAACTTCGTCCTCTTTCACATTGGAAGCAACCACACTGACAGAGGTGGAGTCATTGGAGCTCTCCTTCTCATCCCCCTGAAGACAGTTCTCCGTCATGGTCTCTCCAGTGGGTTTTCCATTCTGAATTTTGCTGTGCTCTAACCCATCCCCACTGGTTGGGATGTTGTTATTGTTTGGTTTCACTATTTTGCCTTGGACAAGGCTGGGGGAAACTGTATCTTGGCTTTGGGCAGCTTCCTTTTTCCCTTTCTTTATCCGACTCTTACTGGCTCGAGAGATTTGCCAGTAAAGGACAGTCATGATGATGACAGGCAAATAGAAGGCTGCAATGGCAGTGCCAAAAGTGACGGCAGCATTGGAGAAAAACTGGATGTAGCAATCCCCATCTGGGACAGTCCTTCCTCCAACAATGAACTGCCAAAAGAGAATTGCAGGCGCCCACAAGATGAAGGAGAGCACCCACGCAGCTGCGATCATCATGCCTGCCATCTTAGTGGTCCGCTTTACAGGGTATGTCAAAGGCTTGGTGACACAAAAGTATCTGTCAAAGCCGATAATGAGGAGGTTCATTACAGAGGCATTGCTGACCACATAATCAAGAGCCAGCCAGAGGTCGCACACCACAGGCCCTAAGGGCCAGTAGCCTATCACAGTGTAGAGGGTGTATAGGTTCATAGAAAAGATGCCAATGATCAAGTCAGCACAGGCCAAGCTGAACAGGAAATAGTTGTTGACAGTCTGTAGGTGCCTGTTGACTTTGATTGACACCATTACCAGGATGTTCCCAATTATGGTGACTAGGCTGAGAGACCCTGCTACCAGGACAATGAAGACCACCTCAACAGTTTTATAGGGGCTCTCCAAAGCCATCACATTTTCAGTGGAAGAGTTTATATACGTCGAGTTATTCATTTCTGTTCTGCTAACAAGATATTCACTTATCACTTAAGCCTGCAGAGGAAAGAAAACAAAAGAGATACCATCATGAAATTAGTCCCTTTGCCTTTAGGAAATGGATCCCAGGAAAACTGCTTGGAAACTGTGTAAAGGTAAAAGATGTGTGCAGAAGGACCAGTAAGCTTTGGCTAATGAAAGCACCTTGCAACTTATAATATCACTTTAGGAATAACCTACCAAAAAGAATGCCTCTAAATATGTGTTAAAGACACAAAGAGACAACATATGAATCCAGATCTAGATTTTTAGGTTTTCAAATGCATTTTTCTCTTTTCTTTATTATAAAATTAATAATGCTTCCATCTTTCCTTCAGGTTCCACCTAGGTGTGCTTCTGGAAGGTTTATGGAACAAGTTTGTGTCATGTGTCCTAATTTTCTTGCACTGTAGTTAATTTTTTGTCAACACTTGCAAAGATTTTGGGACTGCATCAAACTAAAATTATTAGTCTGACAAAAATCAAAAAAGCATAGGTATGCTGAAGTCAATAGAATTAGTAAACTCACCTCAGTTCAGCATCTGGCTATCTAGTTAGGTGTGTACAGTTTCTATATTTTTTTCTATTTCAGTGAGATTAAAGTTTTTTTTTTGTTGTTTTTGTTTTTTTTTGTTTTTTTTTTTTACCTTCACCTTCTCTTGACTAATTGTACCTGGTTGTTCGTTTGTTTGGGGTTTTTTAATATGATGAGGTTATCTCTTGACTCTTGCTTGCTTGTATTTCCCTCAGTTTTTTCAAATCAGAATATTCTTAATCTGTATCAGATAAAGCTATGACAAAAGGTATGAAATGGATAGCAGGGTAGTGATAAAGAAATAAACAGATAAAAATCTATTCTGTTTATACACAGCAATTCTTTCTGTGCCCTGTATAGCCTACCAGCAGTACTCAATAAATAGTAATTAAGCTACTAGCAATACACATTTGATAGAAGACCAATAAAACAGCACATGCTTTTGCCTTAAGGGTATACACTATCTTTTGTGCGTCCCCTGGTCGATAGAATACACTGAAATTGTACAGCCAGTCTCTGAGCACTCATTATTTATGAGTGGTGCTCAAGGGATTATTGAGGCATGAAGGCCAGATGTGATAGAGAAGTTAGGTTGTTTCTAATTGGAACATTCTCCTTTTTTTTCCCCACCCGTAAGGCATCACTTCTTTAAGACAGAGCTTCTGAAAGTGGGGGTGCAATCAAAGGAAGACAAAAAAATTAGTTCTGCTTGGGTCCTCTGTACATCAGGGATTTAGGAATCCTTCTCTGGCCCCTGTGACTAACCTGCTGATGTAGAGACGTATACGATCCATGTCACTTTAATGGAGCAATGCATTTGCACTGTCATTTTGCTGCTGCGTATTTTATTTCAGATACAAAATGAATAAAATGATGCAAAATGTCAGCACAACAGCAAAACCCCTTCTGACCTCTAAGAAAATAGGCAAGTCTGTGTCTGTGGACAAGTCAAAATGCTGTACCAGGGTAAAGGTTTTCTGTCTGAGGCAACATTGTAATCTTGTAATTTATACTTAAAGAAATACAACTGGCAGAAGGTGAGGCTCATGCATTTGCCCTTGCTTTTAGAAACAGTTAAGATTTGTATGCCAATTCCCTGTTGAAGTGAACACATGGATAAATAGAGAAACATAAGGCTACTCAGACATTTTTTTCCTACTATCTGTTCACAGGTACGTCCATAAAGTCCTTGGGATCAAGTTCAAGAGAACAAAACTGTGAGGAGGAATGCTTTAATTAAATATGTGCTTTGTAGAGTAAGAATAGGCTGAGGGCAACATAGCAGAATTTATATTCTGTGCAAATAATAGACAGGAGAATAGCCCAGACATCTTTAATATATGAGACTGTCATTTCAGCAATTCACTGTGTGCTTTTCACCCGAAGCTTCACAGTTGAGCAGCTGGCTATCCAGTTAGATGTGTAAGATATCATTTTTTTTGGACAAGCTAAGAAATTCTCCCAAGCAGAGTTGTTTAGGAACATTCTTGACATAATGCATTTCTGATGAAAAGACAAAATAACTCACAGAGATGTATTGATTAAAAAAAAAAAAAAAAATCATCTGAAAGAGTTTGTGATCCAGGGCTCTGCAGCTACCTCTGGTGACAGAGAGTGAGAAGGGGAGCAAAAAGGGAAGAGTGAGAGAGATGATCAGAGCTGAAAAAAATGTGCTCTATGACAAGAAACCAGATGTTTCTCTGCAATTTCATTTTGAGAAAATGTTCAGAGGTTTTGTTTTCCTTTCCACTGAAGAACTAAAATTTAGTTTAAAACCTGAAAACTTTTGAAAACAAATTACCACACCTCCCAGCCAACTTCATTCCTAATTCTTTTCAGTTGAATTTTTTACCCACTTTTAGGAGAAATCATAGAATCATAGAATGGT